ACCACCACCACCACTACAATCATCATCATCATCATCATCATCATCATCATCATCATCATCAGTACCTTTTAGGTTATTACCAGATCCGTCGGCGTCAATATTATTTCTATAATCCTGCTCCATACACACCAACATACTAACAACAACAACAACAACAATAATAATAATAATAATAATAACCCATTTTGCTGATCTCATCCATATCGTGTGGGTTGGGCGGGTAATAGGCCATGAATGTTTGGTGGGGGTTGGGATTTCCATTGGCGTTTTCTAGGTGTCAATGAGGGATGTCCCGTGGGGTCAGGTTTCGAAGGAGGTGGAAATGGGCATCATTCTGGTGACAGTGAAGACTGTGGCTGGGGAGGAGTTGACACTGGGGGCGTGGTACTAATGAGAGTAGAAATAATGAGAGGGGGAACCTACAGTAACAAATCATTATTGGCATATTCATTATTATCAGTATTATTATCAATATTTTTTCTTTGTTTGTAGTAGTAGTAATTTCAAAGTGGTTAGTGGTTACTCAGAGCAGTAGTCATCAGATTCTGATTATTTTTAGACTTACCCGCCGGCAGAATCATGTGACAGCAAGACTCCAAATAGCTTTTGCGATATTCTTATCTATTTTATAATGGTAGTTTTCTGTATTGTCCAAAACTGTCTCAGATTTCGAATTCTTGCAGGTTTCCACCCATAAGCGCAGCATTCAGGATAGGCACATAAATAACGTATCGTAATAATTCTCAATTCAGTTCAGTCTCTGGTATGTAAATTTGGGGAAGTTTTAAGCGACTCGGATCGAGAAATCGGTTTCCGGGTTCGAATTCCAGTTGGGGTCGTTGAATTCATTTCCAAGCATATATCCTTGGGAGAGACATCTCTTCTGTCTCAGCTATGGGTTAAAAAGTAGAGCCGACTAGGCTCTAATTCTTTAGTTTTCAACCAGGGGAAAAGACAAATCTGAATTGAAAAAGGTTATCCTTTTGCAATACATTAGATCTGTGAAAATCTCCAGTTATTTTTTAGCGTTTCTGTCTTTTTTGGTTTCATTCAACTTTGGCTTAGGGAGGTTCAAATAATTTTAAGCCCAAGCCCCAGGATTTGATAGTGGAGCGGATTTCTCCCAGGCAGTATCTCTCCTTCAGGATTGGGCTGGGTTTATTGTCCGGTGCGTGAGGCGTCCCCAAAAGGGGAAGTGCTGAGTTGGCTTGGGGAATTTTTGAATAGTATTGCCCTTAAACCTATTTTAAACCTCGACCTTGTGCCACATTCGACGTGGACGTGTACGCACTGAAAATTACTCTTTTGTCTACTGGGGTACGTATATACGAAATTCAGTACACACATTATGATACCCAGTATGATAAGGCAATAGTATCTTAATGACAATCTTAATAATATGTGCATATAATAGAGTGTTGATAGCAGACGCAGAAAAGAAACTCCAGGAACTTCGAGAGAAGATAATAAAGAAAAGTGAGGTGAATGGACAAAACAACGCGAGTCAGATGACAGAATCTATGGTTGTTATGAAAAGGGATAGCCCATGATGAGAACTAAAAACTGAAGCCGTCAGAATCGAGGAAGTTAGAAAATTTAAATATATTGGTAGACTTTTAATAGCAGACGTAAAACGTTACTCAGAAATCCGAAGGTATATATGATGCCTTCCAAAAGCTGGGCAAAGTACTAAGTGACAGGAAAATGTCGTTAGAAACAAAGAAAAGATTGCTGAATTGTTATGTAATATCAGTCCTCGTATATGTTGGATAATCTCCTCACAGATGGAAAAGAGACTTGACGTAAAATAAATGTGTTTCTACAGAAGGGAAAAGAGAATTACTATGGACCGAACATGTAAGTAACGAGAGAAGTTTTGGGGAAAATGGAAACAAAAAGGAAACTTTTATTTAGCATCACAAAGGAACAACTGGAATTTCTATGGTACATATTGAAGAAAGAGGGTTAGGCGAATCTGTCACTCTCAGGCCATAGCGAATGCAAGAAGGAGAGAGGAAAATAGCGAATAATTATATATGACTTCATCCCGTCAGCCTTTTGAGGTCGCGTATGAAATCATTGTGGTAGTGTTATTATTATTATTAGTAGTAGCATTATTAATTTTTATTTTATATGTTATGTTTCCTGCTTTGTATCCTATAGAGCTTGGTTCAAACTATGGTTCTTAGGCACTATAGGAGAATTGTTATTTAATTGATAGCACTTTTCTAGTATATGGGATGTTCCTAGAGGTGTAAATTTCTGGGCAACTTGTATGTTGTTGTTATCTTGAACACTGCTATTAAAATTGCCCATTTCTTTTCTCACGAGGCTCAGTAATCCAATTACTATTGGTACAGCCTCTTGTTCATTCCTCACATCCTGTTAATCTAGATCTCCAGGTCCTTGTATTTGGACATTTTCTCTTTTACGGAGTTGTTTCTCTCGGATGGTCCTACTATGTCGATAAACATACACTTCTTGAATTTCATATCTTTTATGATATTATCATGTCTGCTTTTATTTTCTTGTCAGTTTGAATTGGCATGACCCGGAGGATAGTTACATCGTTATTTTGGCTAACTGTGTCTGGTTGGTACTCATCCTACCACCACAGTGTTTTCGATTTTGTGTTTCTTGCATATTTTCCATTGCACATATGTTGCTACCTTCTTGTGGCTGTGGGCATATACTTTTTTTGATAGTTACGGACAGGCTGATATAATATAGTCGACATATTCATCATATTTCAGCAGGTTCTGCATTTCGGGTTAGTTCCATCCTTGATTTAGTGACAGTGATAGGATCTGATTGCGAGGCTTTGCGAGCTGTAATAATTAGGCCTTCTGTTTCAGCTTTCAACCAAGTGCTGGTTTCTTTTGGTCTACACCTGCTTCATTCGTTCTTTTTATGTATCTGCCATGCAATACCTTCTCCTCCCAGTATTATTTATTTATTTCTTTTCTTTTCTTTTTTTAATTTCCTTTGATCAATTTCTTTTGTTTTCTCCTTTACTCTTTAGGAGTAGATAATATACGCTCCGTTTTTTGTTGGTATGATTTCAATTATAGCATGCTGTTTCTTGAATTGTTCAGCTTCTTTGTTGATGGAGTGGATTTAATTTTTTACTATATGTAGGAGAGGGCAATCGGTTTTTGTGAGGAATGCTTCCAATCCGATTGTTGTAGTTCTTAGAATTACTTCAATTCGGATTAGACCTCGGCTCTTGCTGCCTACGACAACTCAACATCTAATTTCGGGTGGTGCTTCCTCATTTGGGTAAGTATTTTTCTGATCTTGTCGTTCAATCTTTTAATGTCATTCAACTTGTTGAGCTGTTTGTTAGTACGCGTATAGCTAAGGTGTTTATAGCCTTCATTTTATTGGCCCCATTAATTTCGCTTTCTAGTATCAAACGCACTCTCCTATAATATTCTTTTCGGGTCTTTTTTCTTCATAATTAAAGGTCACTCGTCATATGCAAATAGAACTTTATAACTTGAGTGAAAATTCATTGAAAATAAAATTTTACTGGTTTCCCTCAATTATAATTACTTCTAGCATTAATAAAATATTAACTGCGAATGAAGGAAATTTCCGTCATTAGAGTTCTTAGCTTCAACTGTGACTGAAGGAAATTTGCAATTTAAAATTTAAAATTTAATATCATTGCATGTTTTGGTTTCAACTGCGAATAAAGGAAATTTCCGCCATTGCTGTTTTTGCCTTCTACTACGAATGCAGGAAATTTCCGTCATTGGATTTCTCGGATTTTATTAAGAATGAATGAAATTTCTGTCAATGGAGTTGTCAGATTGTACAACGAATGATCGAAATTTCCTTCATTGGAGTTTTCGATTTTTCCGATGAATGAAAGAAATTTTTCCGTCATTGATGTTCTCGGCTTCGGCTGCAAAGGACGGAATTTGCTTCATTGCATTTCTCAGCTTTATCTCTCGAATGTAGAAATTTTCTATTATTCTCTTCATTTTTCAACGGGCTGAACTTCATTCCTGGCGATCATTTTCAAGAAAAGGTGCTAAAAATATTGTCTAATATTTTCGAAAAACAAGGACAAGAATATTCAGTTCTGAAATTGATTAAAACAAAACATGTTCACGATTGACAGGTGAAAATGGATACATTCTCTATTGATCTCAGTGGGTAATTTTACCACATGCATTAAATATTTGAGGAATCAAAGAGAATTCCATTAAAAGAAGTAATTTCCATCTTGTTCTTTTTCAGTCAATAAGTTATCTAAAAATACTGAATACATTTATATAAATATTTTACAAGAACGAAAGATTTGAACTGCGCACCTACACCCTTGCAGCGAAATACACAGATATCAGTAAAGACGGCCCAAAATAAGTGTTTACATAAGTAAATCAATAAGTCTGTAGCCTAAGCTGAATTTACATCTTAAATTTACTCTGTACAATGTTCAATCGGTATGATTAATGGAGAAACGTTGGATTAAGCTGTTGGAAAATTAATATTTATTGGGTTAAATAAATTCTGTTTCCTGAGGCTATTGACTTATGTATGTAGGTTTTTTTCTTTTTTATATGCAACGATGTTTAAATGGTTACTATAATAATAGTAGAAATAAAAGTATAATTGAAAAGAGTGAGGGTTTTAAAATTAAATATTGGAGATATTAAAATTTAAAAAAATTATTAAAATATTAATATTAAAAATTAAAAGAATATGAAAATAAATGATTCTGTAATAGAAAATAACTAAAATCAGTAGCGATTGATTACTAAGCCTTTCACAATGCCACATCTACGAGGTACTAAATAAGAATCCATCTCTTTGTTCAGCACTAAAATTCAAAAAGAATGGCTCGTTAACCATAACCTCCACCCGAGGCACCTACAAACAGTAATTGTTTCTGTCTACCGGTCGCAATTATAGCAATATTCATACTGAAAACAGTAATAATCTTGACAGTGTAAGATGGAGATCGTGTGGCCGAGAGAATTCTGTGGGGAATGAACAAGCGGATATTGCAATACGATTGGCTACAATGCTGTCGTGTATGGTGTGTGTCTGATGTATTCATGGGGTCGTTATAAAGAAATGAAGAGAAAGTAAAAGTAAAAAAACAAAACTGAAAGAAAAAAGAATTCAGCTTTATATGGGGAGGCGCAGTGGCCAAAAAAAATAAGGGTGGGTACTGGTGGGAAAGATAAAGTAATTGTTTGGGAGACAACCTTCGAGAATGATCAACAACAATTACCCCTGCCTACCAACCAGTCGACTTTCTTGAAGAAAACGCCTTCATTTATCTCACCTTCTTTGGACCGGCCTATTTTCATTCAGTATTTTTTCATATTTAAGTTTTTTTCTTTTTTGCCTCACCTTTATTCTCATAGCCGACTCATTCTTTTCTTGCTCTTTCAACACAATATTTTCTTTTTTCTTCTTCATTCAACATCATATTTTCTTACTATTTTAACTTTTGTATTATTTTTTTCTTCTTCTTCTTCACGCCATATCATTTTTCATAATATACATCCTTTACTTCTAGCTTCTATTCTTTCTTTCTTTCTTTCTTTCTTTCTTTCTTTCTTTCTTTCTTTCTTTCTTCGTGGCTTTATTTCTTTCTTTCTTTATGACTTTCTTACAATTCCTCCTTTATGTCTACACTCATATTTCTTTCTTTCTTCCTTCCTTTTCTTCTTTATTTATTTCTTTCTTTCTTTCTTTCTTTCTTTCTTTCTGTCTTTCTTTCTTTCTTTCTTTCTTTATTCTTTGAGACTATTCCGCCTTTATTTATAGACTCTTTTCTTTCTTATTCTCTTTCTTTCTTTTTTTATCATTTTAATTTATTTCTTTCCTTTTCTCTTTCTTTCTTTTTCTTTCTTTCTTTCTTTCTTTCTTTCTTTCTTTCTTTCTTTCTTTCTTTCTTTTTTGTGGCTTTTTTTCTTTCTTTATGACTTCTTTACAATTCCTCCTCTATGTCCACACTCATATTTCTTTATTTATTTATTTATTTATTTATTTATTTGTGACTATTCCGCCTTTATTTATCGACTCTTTTCTTTCTTAATCTTTTTTTATCACATTAATTTCTTTCTTTTTCTTTCTTTCTTTCTTTCTTTCTTTCTTTCTTTCTTTCTTTCTTTCTTTCTTCGTACCTTTTTTTCCCATTAACCCCTTCACGTTTACACGCCTTTTCTCTTATTTATGTATTTATTTATTGTGGCTTTCTTACTACTCCCTCCTTACTTCTAGTCTACTTTCTTTCCGTCTTTCTTTCTTTCTTTCTTTCTTTCTTTCTTTCTTTCTTTCTTTCTTTCTTTCTTTCCGTCTTTCTTTCTTTCTTTCTTTACTTCTTTTTATTCATTTATATCGTTCCCTCTTGTGATTTTTCTCCCACATTTTCTTTCCTTTCTTTTTCTTTTCTTCTTTCTTTCCTCAATTATTTTCTCACTTTCTTTTCTCTGTCTTCTCATGTGTTTCCTACTTCCTTTCATCATTTTCTTTTATTGGTATTCTTCTTTGCTTTCCTCTTCTCTTTCTCAAACACTTTATTCTTTCATCACTTGCCCTTTCTATGTTTAATTATATTTCTTTAACTTCTCTCCTTTCATTGATTCTTTCTCTTCTTTTTTTCACTCCCACAATTGTCCTTCTTATTTTTATTATAACGATTATGATTCCAATAAATTTACAACGTCAAATTCAGAATGTTAGTCACGCCTATTTTTCTGTGTTTAAATTTATTTGTTTCATCTTCGTTTCATGTCTTCATTTTTTTTCTTTTCTACATTCTTTTGTCTTCCTTTTCTTCTCTCGCACAATTTCACCATTTTTATTATTATTTTTTATTTTAACGGTTTTATTCTAATTTTGTTGATACGTTATTGCTTCCATTTTTTTGTTATTGTTGGTGGCGGCGGCAACATCATCAACAGCCTATTCGACTAGATATTAAGTTCTTTTTACTTCTCTTCTATTTTCACTTCTTTTTTTGTTTTCGATTTTCTCTTCCACCTCCTCCTCTTACTCCTCCTCATCCTTCTCCTCCAACTCCTACTTCTCCTTCTCCTTTTCCCCTCATAATGATGATGATCCACATCATGATAATCATCGAGGAGACATTTTTTTTATTTCTTTTTTTCTTTTATATTTTCTATTACTTCTTTTTTCTTTCCATTATTATTATTATTATTATTATTATTATTATTAAGCAAACTAATTATTTTAAAATTATTGATTAACACAATATTTCTCATTCCCGTTTGACAGTTTTTATTTTTAAATAAATTACCTTATTCAACAGAGATTGCTGATTCCCATTATCTAAGATTATTATTATTATTTGTAGTAGTCGTAGTAGTAGTAGTAACTGATGACAGTAATGTTTTCGTGAAGAATAATATCAGTAGCTGTATTTAATTTTAACTATATATATACATATATATATATATATATATATATATATATATATATATATATATATATATATATATATAACACACACACACAAACAAACACGCAGGTCGAGGCATCATCAGACCAATTGAAAATGGTGACTTTGCCTGGATATAAAGAGTGACCGCAAACTTTCTTTTCGGTTAGAAAACACTTATCTACAATTAGATAAAGCTACTTTTCACAACAACTATGTTTTCTCCCCTAGCATGAAGAGACTGGTCCATCTGGACGTTAAAAGCTTAGAATATTTTACATATCCCTTTTTTCTTATATGTTCGAATATATGTTGCTTGCTAATAATTATTGTCCTTAATAAGTGAAGCTTGTTTTTAAATTAACATTCTGGAGGTCATGTGACAACAACTTTTTCCAATATTCCAGCACTCACTTGAGTTGTGTTGTGCTTTTAACAATACCACCGTTTGTATTGTATTGTTTGTTTGTTTCTTTCAGGAATTTTATAATTATATTTTAACACTGTCCTTTAGAACAGTTCTGAGTGATCCACTAATTATAGATAGAACTGTCACTTAAATATTCAATATTTTTCAACGGTTCTCTGGCCAGTTCTTTACTCATTTTTGCACTGCATCTGTGATCTACTGGAATAGTGACATCGACTCTAATTTAATTGTAAATTACTTTCCTTACTTACAAGGGATTACTTATTTGGGACTGGATTGGACAAACCGTTTGAAGTTGAAAGTCTCATAATATTTCACACTTTCTATTTTTTTTTATCTAAGGCATATAACATTTTTCTGCATTGAAAAATTTGCTGAGTTCTCAATAAATCAACTTTCCTCCCCAGTCATACCTGTTTTTGTAATCTTTTAGAAATAATTATCTATATAGATTAGTGGCAATGTCTCATCATGGTACACTTGAAATTGATGGATGTTACCGCAAGTTCTATATTAACAGATTCTTCTACTGCACTTCCCGCTTGTGGAATCCTTTTCCGGCATCTTGCTTCCCAGTCAATTTTGTAATATTTGTTCTATTATACAAATTCTGGGTCCCTAATACCTCTACCTGAGATTCCGTTTCTCTCTTCGTGTGTCCTCAGCTCTGCCATGTCTTCGCACATCACTACGTATTTGATTTTGTTTTGTGTATTATTATTACATCTTATCTACATTTTAATCATAGGAGAAATTAATAATAGTGGAAATAGTAACCTTTTCCGTTATTATAATGAAAATAGTAGTTATTGTTGCTGTTGTTTTAATTTTTATATTTTTTTATTTTTTTATTTTAAGACACTAATTTCACTGCAACTGGACTTACTGGGGTAATTTAATAGGTTATATGAATATCCTTGAATCAGTATCATGTTTATTTCCACGCAGTTATAATCAAGGTTATCAGTGAGAACCTTTGTCAGTATAATTAATCTCAATTTTGATGGGACATTTTTACGGGTTTTTTTTTTCTTTTCTTTCTTTTATGACTTATTTTGCTGCTCTTCATAAGGAAATGAATTTTCATTTTTCTTTTCTTCTTTCGATTATTCCTAATTAATTTTCTACTTTCATCCCGTCTCTATATTCTTCTATGATTTTTCATTTATCTTTCACCTTCTATTCATCATTATCCGTCTTATTCTTCTTCCTACTTTTTCATCTTCTTCCTTCTCCCATTCATGCTTCTTCTTCAATTGTCTATGTATCCATGGCTTTCTCCTTTCTTTCTCTCATTTTACCTCCTTCAACCGTCTATTCATTCTTGTCTTTCTTCTTCCTTTATCATGTTTCCTCCCTCTTTGATTCATACTTGCCACTTTCGTCATCTCCCTTGATCTTTAACTCCTTTTTTTTGTTTTACTTTCTACTCTTTTTGCTTCTAATATTTTTGCCTCTTTTTTCGTACCTTTCCCCTTTCAAACCCCGTTATCAACTCTTTCCGCTGTCCACAGGACACTTTCTCTACTGACTGCAATTTCATCTGTCCAAGGAAAACCAACGCCCACAGGACACACTCAATCACCGTCAACTTGCTTCCTTTCACCCACCCACTTCTCTTACTCCTCCATCATTTTTCAAAGACGGAATATTTCTATAATCTGTATTCGATTTTCTATCCCACTCGTGGAAAACATGACCCACCTCTATCCGAACATTATTCTGTCCAGTAACAATCTTCGTACAAAATAGAAAAATATCCATCCTTTTTCACCATCTCTAATTCCCCAAGCATCTTATAACATTTCTTGCTGTCTCCTTTCAATTTGACAGCATCCAGGCTTTTCAGGCAAAAGTGTGACAGTCACCACTTTTTGTGTGCAAGAACCGCTAATGCATTTCTAATGAGTGACACTCCCCAGCCTATACTGAATGTGAATGGGTCACGCCTCTCTGTTGTTGACCCTGAGCCCACATACGGAGATGATTGCGCCGAATGTCCAACTGAAGAGCAACCACCAATCATTTTGAAATGAAACGGAGAATATGGAATAATGTGATTCTAATATCACAAGTAATTTACTAGTTTTTACGATAAGAAAAGCTTCCTTATTGCGGCTGATATATAAGACGCCATTGAAAATATAAAGGAAAATGATAACATAAGGTTTTCCTCCATTTTGTACACAACGATACATTGATAAGATAATGAACAATAGTTAATTTCGGTTTCATAGTCAATACGACTAATTACAATTAGAGCAAGTACTACAACGTGTTATACCAAACTACAAATGAGGGAGGTGTGAAGAACAGAATAAAGAAAAACAAATGCGAAAATTTGAAAACTCTGTACATAGAATTTAAGAGGCTGATAGAACGTATTGCGACAAAAAATTATCTGGCTTCGAAAAGAAATCATGAGGAGAGAAACTGAATTCCTCAACATCGCTGAGGGTGTCAGGATAAACTACATGAAAGTGAAGGAAATCATCCATCTTAAAAGATAGAAAGGGAAACTTTTAATACATTAATGTAGCAAGAAGACCTAAATAGAAAAGTAACAAACAAAAAAGATAAAAATGGCGTAGCATAATGGCTGTGGTCATCCACTGAGAATTGTGCAAACGATTTGTGTTCGAAATAGAAGCAAATGACATCAGCACAAATCGGATACTGAAATGAATTAAAAAAATCAACAAATACATTGACATCTCCAGACCTAGACTAATTCTAGAAGAAGCAAAAAGAAGCCTGATTTAATAATGGCGAATAAAATAAAATTCAATGCCAGATCATAGGAATTGCTGTAGCAGTTGACCAGAGTGTGAACGTAAAGAGAAGGAGGAAATTTAAGAAATAGTAAAACTTTGCCAGCGGGGCGGTTAAGATGTGAAATATAGAGGGTAGAAGATGGTTTACGATAAAAATTTCACTTGTGCGTGTGTCAAATTATTAAAATAGAGATGAGATGAAAATTTCAAGAAGAGAATCAGTTGAAAGCGTTAATGGGGTTGGCAAAATACTGAAACAGATATTAGGGTACTCAGCGATGATCAACATGAAAAAGTCCAAATTAATCCTCTTCATGGTCAATACTTTACCCGTACCGAACAAGCTGATGTAGACAAACCCCGCACTCAGCAGTGACTGCGTAGTGCAGGGTTAAAAGCTGAAACCGAAGGTTTTATTCTTGCAGCACAGTACTAATGCTTTCTAACTAGAAATTACCAAGCACACATGCGGAAAAATTGTGTTGACCCCAAATGCAGATTCTGGGATTTATATCCAGAAGCAATTGGTTATTTTGTATCAGACTGTACAGTGTTAACACCAACGGAATATAAAAGTTGGCACAACAGAATGGGCCAAAATCTGCACTGGAAAATATGTAACTTTTAAAAGAAGGAAACTGTAAGAAACTTGTATGAACATCACGTAGAGTAGGTTAGGGAGATATGAGCTGTAACAGAGAGAACAATCAAATCGAATCACCCAGTCATCATGATCAGAAACCTCAAAGAAAAAATCTTCTTTCCTATTAACATGACTGTCCCTACAGATTATAATATATCTTTGAAGATCTTCAAAACACGATCAAAATACAACGATCTTGAAATGGAAGTCTCAGAAATGTGGCACATGGGGACATCAATAATTCCGATTGTAGTTGGAGCCCTCGGATGGATTAGAAAATGTTTCAATAGACAGATTGAAGGAATTCCTGGTAACCC